CTCTTTCTGGACTCTCTACATCTTTTTTACACCGTGGCAACCAAAACTGGATGCAGTATTCCAGGTGTGGCCTTACCAAGGCATTATAAAGTGGTATTAACACTTCATGTGATCTTGATTCTATTCCTCTCTTTATGCAGCCTAGAACTGTGTTGTAGGCATTTGATCAGTGATGTTTTAAAAAACCTCTCACATGTTCCTATAATTTCAGTTTGTTTGTTTTTTTGAGACCAGTTCCTCTCTTGCTTATTCATCAAGCTCTCCTATTTGCCTTTCAGTTCTGAATTATTTCTGGCCATGTAAGAACAGCCTTTGACGTTTCTTTATATAACACAAAGGCAGCACTCTCTCTCCACCCTTCTGCAGAGAAGTTCACTTCATGGAGATTTGATATTTGTGACTCTGCAGACCTGTGTTTCTCAATTTTAACAACTTTAAGATGTGTGGACTTCAACTCCTAGAATTCCCCAGCCAGCAATGCTGGCTGGGGAATTCTGGGAATTGATGTCCAGGCATCTTGAAGTTGCTAAGGTTGAGAAACACTGCTCCAGAGGTTCCTCCGCAGTAGCTTCCCACATCCATCACTATCGCCTGTGCTGTCTAAGTCTTATATAATAATCTCAACGGATCTGATCTACCCCTGATCTTGGCAGCATAAAGAGAGGTAGAAAAATCTCTGTTCTCTTGCTCTTCTGTAACCTAATCAGCCAAAGAAGATAGCATGAGCCGTCACATTGCAGTTAAGTGCCAGAAGGGAATGAGTGGTGCCCAGTTGTTAAGGCAACATGAGGACGCTTGCTTAGCTTCAAAAGCAATGCTACTGTGGAGAATGAATATTCCCTGGTTGCTAAGCAACTGAGTTTCAAGGCTGTAGGACCATCCTGGAAGTTATACAATCATCTCTGCACTAACAGTAAGATGAATCTGCAGAACTGGAGGTAGCCCCAGTAAACAATACCAATGTTCCTACTACTGGTTTCATTCCTTAATTTCCATTCCCAATAATAAGTGATAATGAAGTTTTAGATTCTGGCTTCTAATTTAGAACAACTCCCAAAGTGTGCTAGAACTGCAAAGGGTTAGAATCAAGATCACGTGAAGTGTTAATGCCACTTTATANCATTTCCTCCCGATCAGCTGGGACTCGGGAGGCAGAGAATAGATGGGGTTGGGGCTAGTCAGAGGTGGTATTTCCCAGTTCTCAAAATTTCTACTACTGGTTCTCCAGAACTGGTCAGAAGCTGCTGATTACCACCTCTGTTCCCCAGCCATCATGAGCAATAGAAGAGACGTTTGTATTATTGGACATTAGGCAAATGTGAGGTAGTTTAAATGATGGGATCTGTAGTCTAACAAATCAGCAGGCTGAGAAATGCTGCTCCAATGGATAAAGAGGCAATTTTGTCACCTTCATGAGGGATTAGAGTTTTAATCTAAAGGCCTCTCGGACCTCTGTACAATAGGCTGTCATTATTAATATTGATCATGTCTGAAGGAGCAAATAAAAGGGATATTATTCAAATTGTTGGTTATAGTCAAATGATAACAGAAGAAAGTCAGTACTGACGAATTTGTAGAAAATCTGTAGAAACCGATCATTTTTATTTACCTCAACATTTTATGAAGACTTTTAGAACTAATCCTTTCAAGATGACAGACAGGCTAAAAGGCATATTTATAAAACTGAAATGAAAGGTGAACATTACAGTTTTTATTGAAACATTAGACTAATACCAATGGAATCAGCTCGGTAGCAAATGCCTACTAAATTCAAGGAGACTTATGGCCATAAAAAGCCTTTATACTGAGTCCCAGATAAATTGGACTTTTAACACTTATCATCCTTTAGCATAAAGACAGGCAATCCCCTTGCACTAGTGGACATTTCCAATTTGTATTTGTCAAGAGGCAGTTATGGAAGAGCCTGATTTAGTAACAAAATGGTGGTCATTGCATCATCTGACAAATGGCGCCAATGGAGGCAATTGGATAATTCAAGGAAGAAAAGAGCTTAAGAAGCCTTCTTGTTCCGTCTGAGTCTTTCTAAGCAACATACCCTAGGAGGACAGTCATGTTAGTTTACGATGGCAATAAAATCTCCAAGAAACTGGTAGTATCTTCTCTGAATAACACGTTGTATTAAAAGGCAATAAACTGTCGTAAGCTGAAGCTCGCGAGAGGCCTACAGTAGCTAAACTGATGTAGGATTGGAATTGGGGTGGGGGGAGCGATTGGAATGATAGTTTAGTTAGACCCAAGTTACATTTGAGGCAAATTCCAAGTACCTCATCAGTTAACAGTGGTGATGTAGGAGATGAGCCTGAGGGAGGCTGAGCCCAAGGGGGGGGGTGTCAAACATGTGGGTGGGATTCAAATTTTTTTACTACCAGTTCTATGGGCATGGCTTGGTGGGCGTGGCAGGGGAAGAATACTGTAAAATCTCTATTCCCATCCCACTCTAGGAGAAGGATACTGAAAAATCCCCATTCCCTCCTGATCGGCTGGTACTCGGGAGGCAAAGAATAGATGGGAGCAGGGCCAGTCCCAGGTGGTATTTATCGGTTCTCCAAACTACTCAAAATTTCCACTACTGGTTTTTCAGAACTGGTCAAAACTTGCTGAATACCACCTCTGTCATCAGTC